CCATGTCCCTCCCCGCCTCCTCGCTCTGTCTCCCCCTCCTCCTCCTCCTCCTCCTCCTCCTCCTCCTCCTCTTCCTCCTCATCCTCCTCCTCCTCGTCGTCCTACTCCCCCCCTGTCCTGTCTTCATCCTCCCACTCCTCCTCCCTCCTCCTCCTCCGCTGGCCGAGCCGGGCCGGGCCGGGCCGAGCCGAGCCGGCGGAGGAATAGTCTGATTATGGAAGGGAGGGGGAAGAGAACGAGCAGGAGGAGGAGGAGGAGGAGGAGGAGGACATGGATGAGGTGCTTTTTCGAACGGCCGAAACGGTCCTCCTGGTCCCCTCCACCTCCTACTCCTTCTGGCTCTACCCTCGGCTCGGATTGCGCTGGACGCCTGCCCGACGTTCACTCCTCCTCCTTCTCCTCCTCCTCATCCTCCCTCCTCCTTCCCGGGTGCCCGGGGGATGCCCGGATGCCCCGGTGCCGGGGTGCCTGCAGTGCCCGGGTGCCCAGGTGCCCCGGTGCCCCCCGGGTGCCCGACAGGGGGTCTTCCGTGCGGGTCTTCCGTGCGGCCACAGTGCTCTCGCTGTTGAAGGATGCGAATCCAAGGGCGCAGTTGTACGACCGAATGTGCTGCATGAAGTGGTCGTGGGAAGGACCCGGACGAAGGAGCTGAGCCATTTCGGCCGGAGCGGGAGGCAGTAGGGGGATGCCAGCCAGGGCTCCGTACCTGCAGCACGCGCCGAAGTCCTTTCTGCGTGCTGCCGGGCACCGCGCGCGTTCGGCGAAGAAGTGCAGAGCCCCGCACGTTGCGCAGGCTCCTTGAAAGTGGCCGGTCGGAGAGAGCGACGCTTTCGGAACGCGTTTGCTGCACCATTCGTCTGTCGACCACCAGCCGGCGCGGTGGCCGGTGCGTACGCCAAGAGAAATCCCAGGCACGGGTTCTGCGAACCAGTTCCGATGCGCTGCGCAGGCGGGCGGACAGCTGGACGAGTTCGGAAGTGCTACGCGGGTGGACTTGAGGCGACACCACGGCACGGAACATTTCGGCGAGTCACGCGCTCGGAGGTACATGCGGACGGCTGCCGCCACCTGCTTGCGGAGTGCTTGCAACGGATCACTACGTGGACGGGCGTGTGGGACACCAGAAGACCCCGACGTCAGAGGATGATGGGGCCCGGCGGCGGCGGTGGCTACCGCGGCAGGTCGGACGTGGTCGGGGCAGTATCCGGTGGCGTACATTGCTTTCGTCAACTTTCTGTCGCACAATGGGAGGGAACATGTGGGTTTAAAGCAACGTTCGCACATGCCGTTGTTGTGCGGCACTGCGCGTCGCGCGCCATGGCGGGCGGGGGCGCTGCAGCCGGCCTTTCCGGGCCCCTGGCAAGGGGGCCCCGCGAGGCAACAGTGCCTACATTCCACCACGGTGCCGAGAGGGCCCACGAGAAAAGCGCACCCAATGGCACGATTGCTACATGGCTTCCGTTTCCGAATGCGCGCGATGCAGAGGCCGTCGGACGACTTCCGTTGAGCTACACCGTTGCACCCAGACGAGCTACAAGGGCGTTCGGCTTGCTCGTAGGATCGTTTGGAGAGGGATGGTAGTGGTTGTGGTGTGGACAGCCCACACGTTCGACACAGGCCTGCTGAACCAGGGGTGGAACGGCCGTCGCACCTACGCGTCGCGCGTGGGAAACAGGACGAAATGCAAAGACAGCACAAAGTGTCCTCTGGCGACTCGACTACGTTCATACACGCGGGCGTGCGGCAGAAGTGGAGCAGGGCGGGCGGTTGGCAGAC